AATTTCATGGTTTAGAGGTATCATCTTAAACCCGTGCTTCTCAGCGAATCGTTGGTCGATATAGCATGAGAATGCTCCAGAATCCAATAGTGCCGTTGTCTGGATTTCCCGTGATACGAATCTTATCGGCAATTCGATCGAATGTTGAGAAAAACCTGCGGATGCAATATATAGATGGTCGCTAGGTACATTCGTTCTCACGGTACTAATACAATTGTCCTGAAGTGCGACACCAGACTCGTCTACACTTCGTAATGAAAATCCTCAGAGAATTCGTCTATCTCGACGATTCTCGCGTTGGTATCCTTGACCGTAGATGTTGATATGGCAGACTCTGTGTCTGCACCGCGCGCCTTGCTTTTACCCTTGCTGGACGGTGGTGTAGTCGAGGTTGTGCTCATCCCGCGAAGTGCAGCAATTGCTTGTTCCAGTGCCGCAATTTGAGCTGATGAGCCCGCGCTACTTTCTTCTTCCACCTGTCGCACGTTCGTCGCCTTGCCCTTTCCTCTTCCCTGTCCTTGCTTCGGGGCGGATCTTGTCTGAAACCGCTTGCCCTTGTATTCAGGTTTGGGGGATGGGCATCTCTTTCCTCGTTCATAGGCGTGCTTTCCGCAAAACAAACATAGTTTGTTTGCCAGCCACCTATCCTGTTCCGGGGATAGTTCGTGGGCGATACGTGCACTGGTGTCCATTGCGTTAGGGTCCTTGGGAGCGGTCGCCTTGGTTCCCGTGGTCTGTCCGGTAGACTTGTTGCCCGTCATCTGCTGGAGATGTTTGATCTCGATCTCCAGGCAGAATTCCAGATAGTCCATCCAAGTGGTTGGGATCTTGGAGGGATCTAGGGTTTCCGTTACCGACATGACCATTTGGATATGGGTCGACCGTTGTTCCCTGATTTTGACGATTAAGTCTTCGTCGGAGTATCCTGATTCGGGGGCGTATGCCCTGAAATTCTCCGCGAAGGCAATCATTGTCTTGTGGCGTATTGCGCAGTGTGCATCTAGCAGGGATTGTGCCGTGCGCTTGGGGTCAAGCGTCTTGTATGCCATTTCCAGTTTCCTGGTGTATTCTGCCCATGTACCAACGTCTTGTCCAGAGGCGAGCTTGATTGCGTACTCTTTCATGTATAGAGCAGCTCCGCCTTCTAGATGTGCGTTGGCTTGACGAATTTTGTCCTTGTCGTCAGTGAAATGGTTGTAATCGAGCCAGATGAGCAGGTTCGTGAACCAAGTTTCAAAATTTTCTGACGACCTCCTTCCCGAATACTTGGGAGGATCGGGGAGCTTGATTCGTCGGGGCGATTGACTGGTTTGGCCGGCCGGTGGTAGGATACCTGTGAAGGGCGCGTTGATTATGGCATTATTGAGTCGAGATTCCAACCCAACGATGTAGGTGGTGGTCTTTTCCTGAGCCTCCTTCAGGGCGACCATGTTGCCGTAAAGGGCGTCCATCTGCCCCTTTACTTCATCCTTATAGTCTTCGAAGTCCTTGCGAATTGCTTGGGCTTCGAGCGTCAGAGTGTTGTTTGCCTTGATGAGCCGCTCGTTGTCGGCGGAGAGGGCGCCAATTTGGGCTCTGGCAGTTTTTAACTGCTCGGTTAGTTCTTCCGTCCTTATTTCGACGTGAATACGAGACAGTACTTCTTCTTCCAATGAGGCCACCGTGCGCTCATGACGTTCATCCATCTTTTGACGTAAAGCCTCGTACGAGCTTACAACGTCCCTCATGACGAATGATCGTACTACGTTCATTACCCATTCCTTGACGTCGTTTGGAATGGTGCTAGGTGCAGCGGCATTGGCGGCTTCCTCAATGGTTGCGTAGGGTACTCCCTGCCACTCCCAAGTCTGAGGTGTGGCGAATGCTGGCAGGGTGGTGGGTGACGGGTTTCTGACTACTCCCGACGCCTTAGGTGTGCTGCTGTTATGGGGTTCATCTGCAGGGGCAGCTGGTCCTGCTTCTGATGATGTGGAAGTGGTCTGACTCCTCCAGGGGTCAGCAGGCTCACTCATTGCGTGTCCTCCGGGGAACGAAACACCTCCAAGGTTGTATTGAGACATGGGGATTGAGGTCGAGGATAACGGAAAGGATGTGACGGACAGTGTGTAGATTGATCCTCGGTCTCTGCCTTAGAAGGGTTCGGGATTTTCCTCAATGAGTCCTTCTTCTTCTAACTCCTCTCGTAGGATTTCTGCTCGGTAGTGCCAATATTCTCGCTCTTCCTCGAGATCAGGAATGAGCCGGAATGGTGCCGAGTAGGTGGTATAGGCGTGTACCTGTACCGTGTAGTGGTAAAGTACTTGTTGCCAATTGGTGACGAGAGGTTGGTAGATGAAGTACGCGGTGCAGATGACTGTGAGTTGTCCCTGCGCCGGGCGATAGAAGTCCACGATGTAGTTCTGATATACGAACGCGATTTGATAGCGGGGCATATAACTACTAGTGGTGATACAAAAATATTACTGGTCCTAGTAGGGCCAGTAGCACGACTCCTTCTC